GGGTGTAATGTTTACAGTAGACTGAAACTTTAGCTTTTCGTGTCAAATTTTATAGGGGACTGATTTAAGTTATTCTTTACTTAGGGTTCAAAGACAGAGAGATTTTACTTGGATTCTGGTTTTTCAAAGTTGTTTGCTTTGGGTGTTTTCTCTTTCTCACTTCCCTAGATTCTTTATGTCAGTTGCCCTCTTATTTTATTACCCTCAATTTTACATATATTTCAAATTGCCCTTTTACTAGAGTTTATCCTTTGCTTAAATTCGTTCGAAGAAGTGAGAGATTGTCCCTATGATGGTCATCCTATAGAATTGATCTCCTGTCCTTATTAGGTAGGATTAAAATTTCTGATTGTTGATGTGACAAGAGAATTTTAATTATAATTCTCCAAATTTATGATCATATAAAAAAAAAGCATAACTAAAATTCTCTTGCCACGCAAATGATAATAAATTTTTATCTTATCCACTAGAGATAGAAGATCAGGATTGAGTCATCATAAGCTCAAGTCGAGCAACGAAATGGTAAAGTGACATTAGATTGTGAATAGTACAAGACTAATAATAAATTTTCAAAATGAATTTTTACGTATTAGAGCCTCTTAACTTTGATACTCGTTTTTCTAACTTGTTTAGCAAAATACCTAAATCTCATTTGGTACCGCTAAAAAATCTGATTAAAATTCAAGTTAAAGTTTACAATTAATTTTAAATTTCATAAACCCACAATTTTAAACCTCTTATTTCATCAAATTTTATCAAACTTTGCTAAAAATTTGATTTTAATAAATATCACACAGGGACCTAATGAAATAGTTGACCCCTTCCCAAACTTACTTGGAGCTTAGCCTTGTCTTCTTCTTCTTCTTCATTTTTTTTTATTTTTTATTTTTTATTTTTTGACAAATTTGGAGCTCAATGGCGATGCATCATGTTATGTAATGCTGTTTTTCTGTAAATTATCTCTACACGAATATAGTGCAGTCAACATTTTATTAGATTGTAGAATTTTGCTTTACAATATATTGAATTTGTATAAATTGATGTATGTATTCTTATAGTCTGATTAGTTTAACCAAAAATTAAATTTTTAGTAGAATTTGATTAAATACGTGGTTGAAAAATTGATAAAAGTTATGAATTTCGAAAAATAAATTTGAAAATAAATTTAATAAATTTGAGACTAAAGAAGGCTAAATTTCCAATGTAAATAAGATTCTTGTATGGGCTTCTTTTGAAATTGTCGTTTTCCAAGGAAACCAATTTTGTTAATGTTTTCGAAAGTAGTTTGGTGGCACGCGACACGGCGCACCTTGTATTGTGGACTCCGTGCTTAGGCAACTAATCGTGCATGTGCATGCGGATTTTTGGTTTCCTCATGTTTGGGAGACTCGAAATCTTGTCCCCAAAATTACATAAATATTGATTTTTGCCTTGTGACATCTTTAGTCAAAATTACATAGTATTAGAAACTTCTATAACGGAAACAATGAAATAAATCACCACTTCTAGCCCATCTCAAATATAAGATAAATTTCTTCTCGCGTAATTCATTTAACATAGGAAGCAACGTATACATTTCAATTATTCCACCATTATTGATACGGATCAAATAAAAAAGAAAGAATAATGTTATGCGTACAGTCCAAGGTGTACACACAGTTTTACACCTCCTTCAATGAAGGAGGGCCACACATATTTTATTGTGTGTGGGCCCCCTCCATATGAGGGAAGTGTAAAATCGCGTTTAAACGGTTATGTACACGTAATATTGTCCAAATGAAAAATTCTAAACCAATTAGAATAGTGAACGAATAAGAACGATGTATGAACAGGTCCATTTTAGAGCTTTTCTCTTTTTAGTTAATTTAAGGGTATTTTCGTCTTTAACAGTTTTTAGTTTTATTTGAGTTTATCTATGAATTAGGATCTCAATATGTTAACAGGTGCTTTGGGCTTATAAATAGTCGTTGAGGTTTTGAAAACATTACACTAATTTTTATTGAGTAATAAGATACTTCAATTTTCTAATTATTTAGTGAATTCCAAATATTTATCATGTTTGTTTGTGAGAAATTTGAGAAAATGTCAGTTCATGTGTTATGAATAAGAACATTTTACTATTGTTCACGTTTTCGTACCACGTCAATTACGAATTTACGGGACATCTTTTCATTCTAGTGCATTATCATTTTTAATGCAAGACTTATATTATTTGATTATGATGCCTTATGAACCAATAAAAACGTGAAATATATGGCTATAAGAGGAATGGAATAGGTTAGATTAGGACAAAAAAAAAATTCTTTTGAAAAGCAAGGATCACACGATATAAGTGTCAATGAACAAAAATATCTCGACCAAGCAAAATAAACGGCGGAAAATTAAAGTTGAACACCTAAGAATTATTTCGACTGTAGCCCCGGAGGTTTGGTGACAGCTTTTAGTACCTACATCCCTCATTGAGAATCCAATAAAAGGATTATGCTAGGTTGCACTAAGAACAGCCCCAAAATGGCAACAAAGTTTAAAAAAGTTCAAAGAGATGAAGAATAAGAACTTATCTCTCAAATTACAATGGTGACTCTCAAGATCCACTAAGGAATCTATCAAAACCCTTCGAACAAAGTCAAGAACAAACAATACTCAGAATTACACAGATTCTCAAATATTCACACAGAATATTACAAAGACGAAGAATTATTGAATCACTCTCAACTTAAAATCAGAGATTTTCAATAGAAAAACGTAAATGAAGAATCATCTCTTTTTCTCTCAAATCCTAGAGTCAGTGAGTGAATCATTAGAATGACAGAATCTAAGAGACAAAGCCCACCAAAAATGAATCGTTACCAGAAAGTCAAGGATCTTTCTAGGTTCATGATCACCCAACAGTCAGGAGAGCTACACATGTCAGCCTTCCAGAAGAAAATGCACAACTTGTAAAAGTGTGTTTCATTTAAACACGATTTTCCTAAAGCAACAAAATTTGGTAGGACCAATTTAAGAGAGAATTAGGGTTCGACCCCAACAATCTCAACCTTACTACCAGATTTTGGACTGTAAGTGCAGCCAGGAGCAATTACACATTTCATTTTCATTTGCTCCATGTACCTGTATAAGAGTCACAAAGAATCAATAAACAGGAATTTAAGACAATTTAGAAATTTATTTAAAGGAATCACCTTTGTGCCTATATCTGATGGATTAATCTGAGTTGAAATATTTTCAATTTTTATTACACCCTTAGATGTTATATCTCTAATAAAATGATATTTAATATCAATATGTTTTGTTCTATCATGAAACATAGGATTTTTGGAAAGATGAATGACACTTTGATTATCTAAAAACAAAACAGTTTGAGTATCAACAAAACCAAACTTAGACAACAAACCACTTAACCGCATTCCTTCTTTTATAGCATTAGTGGCAGAAATGTATTCAGTTTCGGTTGATGATAAAGCAACTATCTTTTGTAACTGAGATTTCCAGTTTATAACGATGCCACATAAGTTGTAAAAATAGGATGAATTAGATCTCCTATTATCTCTATCACCAGGAAAATCAAAATATGTGTATCCTTTCAAGATCACACCCTCTTTATTAGATTTAAATGCTTAACCTAAATGTGCAGTTCCCTTTAAGCATTTTAGCAACCATTTTAAGGCATTCCAATGATCTTCTCTAGGATTACTCATAAATATGCTTAAAGTACTCATACCATGTGCAAGGTCAGGTCTAGTACAAATTATTAGATACATCACAGAGCATATAACATTAGTATAAGGAATTTTGGACATCCAAACACATTCTTTTTCAGTTTTGGGACAACTTTCAGTAGATAACTTGAAATGATTTTCTAAGGGTAAAGTTACAGGTTTGCAGTCATACATATTGAATGTTTTCAAAATTTTAATGATTTAATCATGTTGATTCAAAAACAGCAAGTCATTTTCTTTATCTCTAACAATCTGCATGCCTAAAATCCAAGCCCTAAATCTTTCATTTCAAACTAAAATTTCAACATTTTCTTGATATTATCAATTTCAATTTTATTTGACCTAGTAAGCAACATATCATCCATATAAAGCACCAAATATAAAGCATTTTTACCCCTATTCCCTTTACAATGCAGACGGTATCATATTGACTTCTTTTGAAGCCTAATTTCAAAACAAAAGTATCAAACCTTTTGTACCATTGTCTAGGGGCTTACTTAAGGTCATACAAAGATTTCTTTTATAAACACACAATTTTATCAAGATTACCCTTTTCAAAGCCAACAAGTTGTTTCATGTAGATTATTTCATAAAGGTCACGATACAAAAAAGTAGTTTTAACATCTAACTGATCAAGTTACCTTTTAAATTGAGCAACAAGAGCCAATAAACATCTAATGGTGGAATATTTCACAATAGGGGAAAATTTTCATTATAATCAATCCCTTCTTTTTGAGTGGAGCCTTTTGCAACAAGTGTAGCCTTGTATCTTATATTATTACTACCACCTTCTTCCCGTTTTATTTTATAGATCCACTTACAATCTATAAGTTTCTGCCTTTTAGGTTTTTCTACAAGTTCTCAAGTTTTATTTTTAAGAAATGAGGCCATTTCTTCTTGCATGACAACTTTCCAATTTTCACTGTCTTTACAATATATAGCATTATCAAAGGAGTGAGGTTCACTTTCAGAAATTTCTTGATAAGTAAATAAGGAAACAATTTTATCACTGTCAAATCTAGAAAGTGGTCTAATCCGCCTTCTCTTCCTATCTCTTGTGAGTTTGTACTCATCAAGGGAAAGAGATGGTGACTGGGGTTGATGTTTCCATTTATAATAGTCCGAAAGATCTCATGAAAATTGAACATTTGCATGATCAGAAAGTTCAACATGATCAGATTCCTATTCTATTTCAGTTTCATGCAAAATAACATTTCTTCATGTTGAAAATTCCCAATAATAAGCTCAGAACTATTCTGGTTATTACTAGAGGACTCCATCTCAATTTGAATATCATTTTCAGTTAAAACATTTTCTTTTCCTTCAAGGCAGGGTATTAAGGATTCAATGAAAATAACATCTTTCCTAATTATGACCCTATATCCTGTTTCAGACTTATCCCACAGTCTATACCCTTTAACATGTTCATCATACCTTAAGATAACACGTTTAAGAGATCTATGTTCTAACTTTCCAATATTTTGATGAGCATAAGCAACACAGTCAAAGACTTTCAAATAAGAGTAATTCACAGAATTATTAGACCACACAGTTTCAGGAACAGCAAAATTCAAAACACTTGTAGGACTTCTGTTAATCAAATAGGCTACAATCTTAACTACACCTCCCCATAACATTTTAGGTAAACCAAAACTCAATAGCATACATCTTACCTTATTTAACAAGGTCATGGTCTTCTTTCAGTTATTCCATTTTGTTGAGGTATGTGTGTAACTATTCTATGTCTCAGAATACCATGCTCTTTACAGAAATTATTAAATTCTTGATTATGAGATTCCAGGCCATTATCAGATCTTAGCACTTTTATTTTAAGATCAGTTTGATTTTCAACCTGAATTTCCAATCCTTAAAAACAGAGAATGTCTCATCTTTAGACTTCAACAAAAACACCTAAATTTTCTTGAAAAATCATCAATTATCAATAGAAAGTATCTGCAACCAAATAGGGTAGACACAGTAGCAGGGCCCCACAAATCAGCATGCGAATATTCAAGTTTTTGTTTAGATTTATGGATTTCAGTTGGAAAAGGAAGTTTAACTTGTTTTCCTATAATAAATTTTTCACAATAACTAAAATCACCAAGATTTATTTTTCTAATTTACCAATGTGACCAAGTATTTCATGCTATGATAAGAGTGTAAAATATAATATTTTCCCCTCTTAATTGTTGCATTCGTATGATTATTTGATGTCAAAATATACTCATTACTCTAATATTCTGATCTAGAGATCAATTTGATGGAAAATCTGAAATTTGGAAGAGATGAGTAAAAAGGGCCAAAGTGGAAGAAAGTGAAAATTTAGGGACCAAGTTGTAAATAATTCATAATGAGACGGGCAATAGAATGATGATTCAAGAAAGATAGGAGTCAATTGGGTGTAATTTGAATCCAAAAGAAATGAAATATGACCATAACATCTTCACAAATCAATTCCCAATTTAAAAAGTTACGTACCGATTTTCAGCCTCAAATTAATTCCCAATTGAAATAAGACTCATTTTTTACACGAAAAATGATTGAATTGGAAGATGACTTCTGAAGCAAAGTTGTAACCTTCGAGTTAGCTTTCCAATACAACTTGAATCACCTCAATCGAACATTGGAAGGAAAAGTTATGGCCAAAATACTAAAAGTTGTCCGGCGAAATTTTTTTTGAACTATGCGGTTGTATAGTTCAAAAGTTATGCGACTGCATAGAAGGGTCGATGGAACTTTTGGGTGCCACACATTTGCTCTATGCAACCGCATGGCTAATAACCATATGGTCCATGCGGTTGCATAGTTATCATCTGAGACCAAATTTGTCAAATTCTTAAATTGACGCCATCACTTATGAAAACACGTTTTGACATGTTTCTTAAGCCCAAAAACATCCAGAACATGGGGAATTGGACCTGAATTCCATTTTCCTCTCATCTTTGGCTAAGAAACTCCATGGAAGGCTAAGAACAACCAAGCGAAGCTAGGAACGAACTCAATTGGTGTCGATATTTTAATATTTCTTCATGAATGTGTTATTATTCCTATTATTAAAATATTTTTGAGATTGTGATTTCTTTTGTTTCATGAGTACATTATGAAATTGATTTAATTTGTACTAAGTTCTTCATAGAATTAATCACATTCTTTCTATCGAAGAATTAAACTATTCAGTGAAAGTTAATTTCATTTACCAATTGGTGTAATCCTTTACAATTTTATACATATTGTATATGATTGTTTTTGGATTTAATTTCAATAGATTAAAATGATGTGTATAGTGTTGAAAATCTTAATCTTAGATCTATTGTCGGATCAAAGGGATTTTGTATGCCATATCTTCCCATCAACGCATTATGAATGAGAAATCTTTAATTGGATAAAACACATAAATGACTTACGTTGATTAGGCCGAACCAATTGAGGGACATCCGGTACTTCGCTATCTTACATTTTGATATTTAAAACACATTTCAAATTGGTACATTATTTTCATACAAATTCATAATGAAAAACCCTATCTTTTGAACCTTTGAACTATTTTCCCATCTCACTGTGGATACGACACCCCAAAGCTCTACTATAATTGTTGTGTTATTTTTTGGGCGTAATCAAATTTTGGCATCGTTGTCGGGAAGATGGTACAAATAATTAAAGAATTTTTGAGCAAAAGGGTGACTTCATTCCTCTTTTAGCTTTTTAGTTTGTTTATTTTTAGTTGTATTTTGTTATTTCTCACATTTTTATATTTTTGTGCGTTATGAACAGGTATCGAGACGAGCGAGGGCGATTCATTGCAAGACCTCAACTAGAGTTTGAATTACTTTCTAAGCCTCTTTTTGATTCTGCATTTGCACAACACAATAAGCGATAGTGAGCACGGCGATGCGCCCTATAGGACCCTACATGATTACCTTCACCCAACACGCACTTCCACGCCATCTTGCATTATGTTCCCACCAATATACCACGTATAGACCTAAAATCGGGAATGATTCAAATTCTTCCCATTTTTCATGGACTTGAAAATGAGAATCCATACGTGCATATTTGGGAATTTGAGAAAGTGGTTGCAACCTTCCATAATTAACGTGGTACAATGGATGCAATCAGGCTTAAATTTTTCCCATTTTCACACAAAGAACGAGCAAAAAGCTAGTTATATTCATTGAAAACACGTTCAATTGGAATTTGGGCTGAAATGACCCAAGCTTTCTTTGGCAAATATTATCCCCATCATAAGACTACTGTCTTTAAGAAGCAAATTTCCTCATTTGCCCAAAAGGATAGTGAAACCTTATACCAAACCTGGGGGAGATACAAAGAGTTGCAAACCCTTTGTCCCCAACATGGATATGAGAGTTAGTGTGTGGTGATTTACTTTTATGAGGGTCTAACACCTAGGGAGCGTCAATTTGTTGAAATGATGTGTAATGGAGACTTCTTACAAAAAGACCTGGATGAAGCCATAGAGTATCTAGACGACTTCTTACAAAAAGACATGGATGAGGCCATGGAATATCTACCCAATCCAATAGAGTTTACAATGCACCCCCACGTCAATCCACATTGTCGATGAATTCCTTAGAAGATATTTTACATGCATTTATTAAGGCACAAGGTAAAACAAATAAAAAATTTGAGACTATGATTGGCCACTTGGTTGAGGAAAACAAAGAGATAAAGAATCATATGTCGAAGTTAACCAATGCCTTAGCTGTAGGGGAACATGAAAAGTTTTCAGCTCAAGCTCAACCAAACCCAAAAAGGCAACACATGGTACAAACCTCAAGATCCAAAGAGACGAATTTTAAGGAGGTGAATGCCATAACCACTAGATTAGAGAAGGTTGTAGAACCAACCCCTCCATTTAGAGAGAATGAAAAAGAGCCAAGTAAGCCTAACGAGAGTAGTCCTAGTGAGGAAGTAGTGGAAAACCTAGCTAGAATTTCCTCAAGCTCTCAAGTCTACTTTGAAATCAACAGGTCAGCATAATGAAATCCTAGAACATCTCAAACAAGTCAAAATCAATTTGCCTCTCTTGCATGTGATCTCTCAAGTTCCTACATATGCTAAAATCCTTAAAGACTTCTGCACCGTAAAAAGGAAGCATCATATAAAAAAAAATTGCCTTCTTGACCAAGCAAGTGAGTGTTGTGATACAACAAAGTATCTCACCAAAGTATAAGGACCCTGGTTGTCCTACCATTTCTTGTGTCATTGGGAACTGTGAGTTTGCACAAGCCTTCTTGATTTCGAAACTAATGTCAACCTCATGCCATATGCTATATACTTGTTGTTAGGTCTAGGAGAGATGAAACCCACCTCAATGGTTCTACAATTAGCTGACCGGTCCACCATACAACCAAGGGAAGTAGTTGAGGATGTGTTAGTTTAGGTTGAGAAACTTTACTACCCCGTTGATTTCTTGGTATTAGATGTGAAGTTTGAGGTAGATGTTAACTCCAAAATCCCTATTATACTTGGTAGAACTTTCCTTGCTACAGCTAACGCTCTTATCAATTGCAAGAATTGTTTGATGAAGCTGACACTTGAAAATATGACTCTAGAAGTCAATATTTTCCATGTCACAAAAGAACCTACGGAAGCTAATAAATGCCATCAAACCTACATGATTGATGCATTCGCTCAAGAGGAAGCATCCACAACAATTGATTATGATCTTTTGAACTCTTTTCACCTAAATTATGAAATTTCATATGGTTTTAATGTTGATGAGTATGCTAACATTTGTGCTATTTTTGCAAAATTACAGGACCACAGAACTTCACCATGGTAACCCAAGTTTGAGGAATTGCCGAAAAGGACTGGAGGATAGAAACAATCAAGTATTGAAAACTCTAGGCCAGAATTGAAACAACTTCCTACAGGACTGAAACATGTGTTCCTCGGACCAGGTGATACCTTTCCTGTCATTATTTCGTCAGAATTGGATGTATTACAATGTAAACAACTTTTAAACATTCTGAATAAACACAAATCTGCATTAGGGTGGACCATAACCGACATCAAAGGTATTAGTCCTTTAATTTGTTCCCATATAATTCATCTAGAGGAAGGGACTAATCCTAGGAGAGAACCACAAAGTAGACTAAACCCCACAATGAAGGAAGTGATAAAGAATGAGGTACTTAAATTGCTAGACACAAGAATCATTTACCCAATTGTAGATAGTAAATGGGTTAGTCTTACACAGGTAGTCCCAAGAAGTTAGGTGTCACTGAAGTAAAAAATGAAGTAGGTGAATTCGTCCCTACGAAAATGGTAATTGGTTGGCGCATGTGCATTGATTATTGGAAGTTAACTGCCACTCACAAAGACCATTTTCCCTTCCCTTTTTGGACCAAATACTCGAACGTGTGGCTAGTCATCCCTTTTACTGTTTACTAGATGGCTATTCATGATACTATCAAATTGAGATTGCTTTAGAAGACCCGGAAAAAATCACATTCACGTGTCCTTTTGGTACCTTTGCATTTTGTAGAATGCCATTTGGACTTTGCAATGCCTCTACTACATTTCAAAGATGTATGATGAGTATGTTTAGTGATATGGTAGAGGATTACATGGAAGTTTTTATGGATAACTTGACTATTTTTGGGACCTCCTTTGATCCATGTTTGTTAAATTTGAAAAGAGTCTTGGCTAGATGTGAAGAAAAAGGCTTAGTTTTGAATGGGAAAAATGTTATTTCATGATGTGTTCCAGTATTGTCTTAGGGCATGTTATTTCTTCAAGAGGGATATAAGTAGATAAGTCAAAGATTGAATTGATCTCTAAATTGCCTACACCCAAGACAGTAAAGGACATTAGATCATTTCTTGGTCATGCAGGTTTTTATAGGAGTTTTATACAAAATTTCTCATCCATATATAGACCCCTATGTAACTTGATAAATAAAGATGTGACTTTTGAATGGACACCTGAATGTCAAAATGCATTTGAATTGTTGATTGGTAAACTCACCTTCGTACCCATAATGCAACCACCAGATTGGACATTGCCATTTGAAATTGTGTGATACTAGTGACTTTGCGGTAGTTGCTGTTCTAGGGCAACGAAAAGAAGGTAAGCCTTTTGTGATTCGCTATGCTAGTAAAACTTTAAATAGTGCTCAAATGAATTATTCCACTACTGAAAAAGAACTACTAGCGGTAAGTTTTGCGCTTGATAAGTTTCGATCCTGTTTGATTAACTCTCCCATTACTATTTTCATAGATCATGCAGCCCTAAGCACTTTCTTGCAAAGAAAGATGCTAAGGCAAGACTAATATGTTGGATCTTGCTTTTGCAGGAATTTGACATCATTATCAGCAGACCATCTGTCAAGGCTGACATTTGAAGACAACTCAAACACCTTGCCAATTAGAGATGAATTTCCTGATGAAAATTTATTTACTATCTCTTCTCTACCATGGTTTGCTAATATTGTGAATTACTTAGCTGCAGGTGAAATCCCAAAGGAGAGGAGTGCACAGGATATGAGAAAATTTTTAGTTGAGGTACGTAACTTTTATTGGAATGACCACTGTTTATTTAAATATTGTCTCGACCAAATATTGAGATGATGTGTTCCTGATGAAGAGATACCCAGTGTACTAGATTTTTCCCATACCCAAGCTTGTGGGGGCTACTTTTTTATGAAAAAGACTACTGCAAAAATTTTGCAGTGTGATTTTTATTGGCCCACCTTGTTTAAAGACACTGATGCCTATTGTAGATCTTGTGAGAGGTATCAAAAACTAGGTGCTATTTCTCACAGTAATATGATGCCTTTAAATCCCATTTTAGTAGTTGAAGTGTTTGATTGTTGGTGCATTGACTTTACGGGACCCTTTCCATCCTCTTTTAGCTATTTATACATCATTGTAGCTGTAGACTATGTGTCTAAGTGGGTAGAGGCGGTTGTTTGTGGAGCCAATGACAATAAAACAGTTGTTAAATTCCTTAAAGAAAATGCTTTGTCTCGATTTGGTACACCACGTGTTATCGTTAGTGATAGAGGCACACACTTTTGCAACCGTTCATTTGAGGCACTAATGAAAAAGTATGGGGCGATTTATAAAATTTCCACTTCTTATCACCCACAAAATAGTGGACAAGTAGAATTGGGTAATGGGGAAATTAAGCAAATTTTGAAAAAGACGGTGAACCTTAATCGTAAGGACTGGTCGTTGAGACTGAATGATGCACTTTGGGCTTACCATACAACTTTTTAAACTTCTCTAGGCATGGCACCTTATAGACTAATCTTTGGAAAGCCTTGTCATTTACTTGTCGAACTTGAGCACCGAGCCTTTTGGGCCATTAAACACTTCAACTTTGATCTAGAAGAGGGATGGAAACATAAAAAATTTCAATTGAGTGAGTTAGAGGAGTTAAGAAATGATGCCTATGAAAGTTCTAGAATCCACAAGTCAAAAATGAAAGCATTTCACGATAAAAAATATTGTGAAAAATACTTTTGAACCAAACCAGAAAGTATACTTGTATGATTCTAGATTTCACAAGCACTCGGGAAAACTCTGCTCTAGGTGAACTGGTCCCTTTGTCGTATCACGAGCTTTTGAGAATGGGGAGGTTGAAATTGAGGACCCTAATGATGGTAGGGTATTCAAAGTGAATGGACAAAAACTCAAAATACTCTATGAGCAACAGGTGCCTGCATTGGGAGAAATTCCTCTTGCAGACTCGATTTACCACCCATGACACACTTCATGTTCATTTTTCACTTTGTATTTCTATATATTAGTTTCATATTTTTTTTAGTGTATTTTGCATTTTTTTAGTTTATTTTCATTTTTCGCATCACCCTTTCCATTGGAGACTTTCAGGCTTCCTATACTTTAGCTCATGTGATTCGCTTCGGCATTCAGGTGACATATTTCCTTAACTCTAGTTGACAGATATATTTTTATATTGAGGACAATGCAATGTTTAGTTGGGGGAGTTTAACTTAAATTTTGTTGTGAATTACATGATTTAAATGAAATTTTGGTCTAAATTTTTTTTAAGTCCCTAATTCATTACATGTTCTTGAATGACAATATATGCCACTAAAAATTAATGTTGTTTATGAAATTTTGGATGTTGAGATATTTGCTTAATCTTTTTGCGCATACAAGCGTTTTGGTAAGATAGTGGTTTAACACATGTAGCCAATATAGTTTCTTGCTGATGTTTTTTTGTAAGGGTCAGTGAGGATCAAGAGCTACCTAGCACTAAAATAGCAATGAGTAGTCATTGATTTTGTGAATTGGAAACTCTTTTGAGAATATATAGTTTGTGGTAAGATGGTAAGTTACTTGAAAAATGATGAAGGTCAATTTAGGATTAACATATAAGTCTTTCAAGCCTTCTTTTTCAATAATTACAAGCCCTAAGAACCATGTCAAGCCTTACACACATGTATAGCCTTTTCTTCATATACCCATGTTATACACACTTCTCCACATTGGAGTACAGTTTATCCATATATTTACCCAATTTTTTACTTCTAAACTTGTAGTAAGTATTGAATGCTTATTTGTGAAAAATAGAAGCAAGAAAATGACAAGAGTTAGTATGTGCTCAAATAAAACATCCCTTAAAAAAAAAAAAAAAAAGGAGTCAAAAAAATTGATTGATTTTGGGGTTGAAATATTGAAGAGCGTATTGATCGAAAGATGTAATCTATCGAGGTGCTTGATGAGATGCCTAGCTACATGTTTGGAAGTCCTTGAATCTTTATATCCTTATTTTCATATAGCCTAATCCAAACCACATTACAACTCTATACATTGACGATTTTGATCCCAAGTATAATTGTGGTAAGAAAGTGATGAATTTTCATTTGACAGTATGCCTATCATAACATCAATGTTCGCTTGTTGCTCATTCATAAATATTTAAGCCTCCAAATTTTGAGTGTATCCCTTTCTCAACTCCATAGAGAAAAAAACCGCACTAAACACTTTGATACCCGTGAGTTATGGAGCTGAACTTTCAGCTCGAGATATACTTGATGTTGCATGTGTTAGGGTATGACTTGACACACAAACACACACATTTGGCAAATATTTTTAATATCTTGATGATCATGACATTGTTAAGTTCTTATGGTTCTGAGTTTGAAAAGAGCATGAATTGCAATTAAGTTGGAACTTAATAATTTCATTCTTATCATGGACCAATCACTCAATTTCTCGTTTTCCAATAAATTGCTAGGGACTAGCAATAAGTAAGTTGAGGGGTATGATAAGAGTGTAAAATAAGATATTTTTTCCTCTTAAGTGCTGTATTCATATTATTATTTGATGTCAAAATAAACTTATTATTCTTATGTTTTGATCTAGGTCGCAATTTGATGGAAAATGTGAAATTTCGAAGAAATGAGTAAAAAGGGGCCAAAGTGGAAGAAAGCGAAAGTTCAGGGACCAAGTTGCAAATAATCAATAATGAGACGGGCCATGGAATGATGATTCAAGAAAGTTATGAGTCAATTGGATGTAATTTGAAATCAAAAGAAGTGAAATACGACCATAATATCGTCACAAATCAATTCCCAATTAAAAAAGTTACGCACCGATTTTTAGCCTCATGTTTAGACCCATTTTTGACATGAAAAATGATAGAATTGAAGAAGACTTCTGAAGAAAAGTTATAGCCCTTTGAGTTAGCTTTCCAATGCAACTTAAATCACCTCAATCGGATATCGAGAGAAAAATTTATGGCCAAAATATTAAAAGTAGTCCGAATGAAATTTTTTTGAACTATATGGTCGCATAGTTCAAAAGCTATGCGACCGCATAGAATGGTTCAGGGAACTTTTGGGCGCTACACATTTGTTCTATGTGACTGCATGGATTATAACTATGCGGTCGCATAGTTATCCTCTAAGACCAAATTTGTCAAATTCCTAAATTGACACCATCACTTTTGAAAACACGTTTTGACATGTTTCTTAAGCCCGAAAACACTCCTGAACGTGGGGGATTGAACTTGAACTCCAATTTTCTCTCATCTTTAGCTAAGAAACTCCATGGAAGGCTAAGAACAACCAAGCCAAACTACGAACGAACTCGATTGGTGTCGGTATTTTAATGTTTCTTCATGAATGTGTTATTATTCCTATTATTAAAACATTTCTGAGATTGTGATTTCTTGTTTTTCATGAGTACATTATGAATTGATTTAATTTGTACTAAGTTTTTCATAGAATTAATCACGTTCTTTCTATCGAAGAATTGAACTATTCATTGAATGTTAATTTCATTTACCTATTGGAGTAATCCTTTACAATTTTATGCATATTGTATATGATTGTTTTTGGATTTGATTTCAATAGATTAAAATAATGTGTATAGTGTTGGAAATCTTAATCTTAGAACTATTGTCGGATCAAAGGGATTTTGTATGCCATATCTTCCAATCAGCGCATTATAAATGAGAAATCTTTAATTGGGTAAAATACATACGTGACTTACATTGATTAGGCCGAACCAATTGAGGGACTTCCGGTGCTCACTATCTTACATTTTGATATTTAAACCACATTTCAAATTGGTACATTATTTTCATACAAATTCATAACGAAAAACCCTAGTTCTTGAACCTTTAAACTAATTTCTCATCTTCTTGTGGATATGATACCCCAAAACGATACTATAATTCGTCGCGTTATACTTTGAGCGTAATCATGCCATAACTTTGCCAAAGTAAAATTTTCAGATACAGCAAAAGTAGTTAGACCTAACAAAGGTTTAGCATTCAAGTAATACAAGCCATGTCTCTTAGGGGCAGAAATAATCACTTTATCTCTCCTAAGAATTTTAACATGTCCTTTCCCCATATTAATGTTAAACTCCGTATCATCTAACATACCTAAGGACACTAAGTTCCTTTTCAAATCAGGGACATATCTAGTTTCATTTAGAAACAAAACATTTCCATTATCCAATAGTAGTTTAATAGTCCATATGCCACTGACTTTGCAGGCAAAGTTAGTGCCAATTATAACCTGCTCACCTTTAGTTTTTTCAAAATCAATAAAATAATTTTTATTTGGACACATATTAAAAGAACACCCTGAGTCAAGTATCCCTTCATCACTTAACTTCTTTTCAGCATTAACTAAAACTAGACCATTTTCAGTTTTGGTTTTATCATGGACCAAAGCATTATAGCCATCTTCAAGACCTTTTGCTTTTGTATCATTTTTCTTTTTGAAACAATCTTTGGCAAAATAACCAATTTTACCACAATAATAGCACTTTTTGCCTTTTGCATTATTTTTGGTTCTATTTATTTATGTCCATTTCTTATTTTATTTAGAAAACTTAGAGTAATGTTTAGACCTACTATGAGTTTTACCCTTAGACAGCAAGTTTACCCCAGTGTGACAGTTACTTGACTCAGCCTTAATATCTTGTGCCTTATTTCTTAAGGCAATTATTACAATGTCAGTGGTGAGGTCATCTCTCCTATATTCTAGGGCAACCTTAATGTCCTTATATCTATCACTTATGGAGTTTAATAAGACTACAACCAACTAATCTTTTGAAAGCTTTTCATCACAGTTGGCCAAGTCTTGGGTAAGTTTAGGAAATATGTTCAAATTCTCACCCAAGTCAACAGAAGGGTCCATTTCAAAGAGAAGATTTCAAAAGTAAATACTTATTTGGAGTAGTCTTAGTCATACATTTGGCCTAAAGTTTGGCCCAAAGATTAGCAACAGTTTTAGTTTCTTCAATTTCTCTAATCACATTCTCAGTTAAGTATAAAAATATGGTACTCCAAGCAACTTCTTCAAGTTCAGCTTTCTTAACAAGGGGAAAATCAGCAGGCCAAGTATCATCCATAGCTTTCACACATCTCATTTGCATTAAAATAACTTTCATTTTTTGGCTCCACGTATTAAAATCAATTTTACCATTAAATTGATTTACTTCAATTTTAGCAATAGCCATATTAGCAAGCAAATGATGCACAAATACCAACACAGTGTAAGGACAAAACAAGTATTCAAGTTGGTGACCCAAAGAAAATTACTATAATACACACAATAATACAAGATTCACTCAGTTCAAGCAGTTTATGAAGTTTACTGGCGAAATTACTTAAAGAAAAAACGTAGATATCAATTAACTATGTTTCACTGATTTCTCCAGCAAGATTCCCCAATTACACACTCGTACTTGATTTATTTCAGATTTCAGAGGCCTCGCAGGAGCCTCAAGAC